GCCCACCAGTCTCAGGAGGCGTTTTACAGTGAACAGAAGCACCCTCTGATCCAGCAGCACATCGGCTGGTTAGGGTAGGAGTTGGCACCAGTTCCGAAAGGGGAGAAGCTGAGGGTGCAGTCCTGCCCAGGGCACAACTGGAAGGCTGTTGGGGAAGGGAGACTCCAGAGGTCCTGCCCATGGGGAGGACTGTGGAACTGGGTGTGGCCTGCCTTCAGTCTGGGGGGAGGGTGGGGCTGAGAATCACTGGATTCAGTGTGGTAAACCAATTTTAATTAAGAAGTCCTAGGGGGCTTGGTGTGGTGGCTCATGCCTGTAATCCCAAACCTTTGGGTTGCCAAGCCGGGAGGATTGCTGGAGCCCAGGTGTTTCAGACAGCCTGGGCAACATCGTGAGACCTCATCTCTACAAAAATAAATTTAAGAACAAAAAAATAGCCAATCGTGGTGGTGCACACCTGCAGTCCCAGTTTCTTGGTAGGCTGAGGTAGGAGGATTGCCTGAGCCCAGGAGGAGGTGGAGGCTGCGGTGACCCATGATTGCACCACTGCACGGCAGCCTGGGTGACAGCTAGACTCCCCCCGCCCCCACCGCCCCCACCAAAAAAAAAAAAAAAAGTCCTAGGTATGGGTTGGGGATAATGAAAAGAAAAGTGATTTTGTAATATGTCCAGCAAAGAATTTATGTCATTTATATAAAATAGGAAGAGGGGAGAGGTGGTGAGAGGACCCCTGCTGAGGATTTCATTGGTGTCTGCCACAGGCCGCCATGGCATCAGATGAAGGCAAGCTTTTCGTTGGAGGACTGAGTTTTGACACCAATGAACAGTCGCTGGAGCAGGTCTTCTCAAAATATGGACAGATTTCTGAAGGTGAGGCTGGTGCTGGGCCAGTGGCCCAGGGTGGCTTGTACTCCTCCCTACCTGTAGGGACAGCTGGGTGCTGACTGCAGATCTCTTTGTCCTGCACAGTGGTGGTTGTGAAAGACAGGGAGACCCAGAGATCTCGGGGATTTGGGTTTGTCACCTTTGAGAACATCGATGATGCCAAGGATGCCATGATGGCCATGAACGGGAAGGTGAGGATCAGGGTGCTGAGCGGGAGCCCGGCCTGAGGATGGGGCACCCACCTGCTAACCTGTGCCACCCTCTGGTCTCCAGTCTGTAGACGGGCGGCAGATCCGAGTGGACCAGGCGGGCAAGTCGCCAGACAGCCGATCTCGGGGGTACCGTGGCGGCTCTGCCGGGGGCCGGGGCTTCTTCCGCGGGGGCCGAGGACGGGGCCGTGGGTTCTCTAGAGGTGAGTGTCATGAACGGGCCCTTTGGGGACGCTGTGAGGCACTGCTCGTGGGAGCTGGTACTCATTTTTCCTTCCTGTTATGTGCAGGAGGAGGGGACCGAGGCTATGGGGGGAACCGGTTTGAGTCCAGGAGTGGGGGCTACGGAGGCTCCAGAGACTACTATAGCAGGTGAGGGGGGAGTCAGCCTGGGCACGGGCGGCTGCGGGGCGGGGTGAGGGTCGAGTCAGCCTGGGCACAGGGGTGGCTGTGGGGTGGCCAGCTTCAGGCCTAGGTCCCTGGGAGGCCTGAGGAAGCTGGCTGCGTAAGGAGCAGAAGCAGGAGGGGGCCCAGGCTGGGAGGAGAGGGGACTGCTTAGAACAGTCGCAGAAGTCGGCCGGGCGCGGTGGCTCAAGCCTGTAATCCCAGCACTTTGGGAGGCCGAGGCGGGTGGATCACGAGGTCAAAAGATCGAGACCATCCTGGTCAACATGGTGAAACCCCGTCTCTACTAAAAATACAAAAAATTAGCTGGGCATGGTGGCGCGTGCCTGTAATCCCAGCTACTTAGGAGGCTGAGGCAGGAGACTTGCTTGAACCCAGGAGGCGGAGATTGCGGTGAGCCGAGATCGCGCCATTGCACTCCAGCCTGGGTAACAAGAGTCTCCAAAAAAAAAAGAACAGTCGCAGAAGTTAGAGGGCCTGGGGGACACAGCTGGTGGGGGTTTTGGATTTCCAAGACTGCCCTGCTAGAATCCTCGCTGTGTTCCTAGAAGGGACGGCTGGCCTGCGGGCTGGCGGTGCAGCCTCTTGGGGCAGAGCAGAAGTAGACGTTCTCTCTAGCACTCACTTGTGTGTCCTGCAGCCGGAGTCAGAGTAGCGGCTACGGTGACCGGAGCTCAGGCGGGTCCTACAGAGACAGCTACGACAGTTACGGTAAGTCACACTCCGAGGGTGCCACGCTGCTGTGGCCTGCGGTGGGAGCTCGGTTCACTCTGGCACCCTCTCCAAGCGACTTAGGCTGGACACTCAGACCTTGTCACTGCGCTTGCCCATAGGGGACGCATCTGTCCTCTCAGAGCCATTTCTACTGCAGGACACAAGAGCAAATGAGACTGACCAAAGGCAAGGGAGAGCGAGGGCCCGCCGGGCAGTTGGTGCAGGTGCATGTGCGCCGCCGGCCTCCCTCGGCTGTGGGGGGTGGTTGCTCCCCGGCCGCAGGCCATGGCCGGTCTGGCCTCTGGGGTGACGCTGCCTCTCGTTGCTTCAGTGCCTTTACACTGTGCCTGCTTCTTGTCCTCAGCTACACACAACGAGTAAAAACCCTTCCTGCTCAAGATCGTCCTTCCAATGGCTGTGTATTTAAAGATTGTGGGAGCTTCGCTGAACGTTAATGTGTAGTAAACGCACCTCCTTGTATTCCCACTTTTGTAGTCATTTCGGTTCTGATCTTGTCAAACCCAGCCCGACCGCTTCTGACCCCAGGATGGCCTCGTTATAGACCTTTTTTTTTTTTTTTTTTTTTTAAAGGAAGTGCTGTTTTTAAGGGTTTTGAAAACATTTTGAAGAGCACTTCAGATTTACTTTTTTCTTTTGACCACGAGCCATGAGTTCCAAAAAAGTCGTCGGGGGTTGTGTGGAGTTTCGTTTTTTTTAGTTTTTGGTTTTTTGGTTGCGTTGCCTTTTTTTCTTTGTTACTGGGGTTGGCCCCATGAAGTGGGTGCCCCATTCACTCCTCTCTGAGATCGAACGGACTGTGAATCCGATCTTTGTCGGAAGCTGAGCAAGCTGTGGCTTTTTTCCAACTCCGTGTGACGTTTCTGAGTGTAGCGTGGTAGGACCCTGGCAGGCGCGGCAGCAGCTGCCCTGGAGCCCCAGCCCGTGCGCTCATCTGCTGTGCACCCAGGATAGACGTGCAAACGTGTTTGAGAGGTTCTTGAAGATGTTTATTTATATTGTCCTTTTTTACTGGAAGACGTGCACATACTCCATCGATGTTGTATTTGCAGTGGCTGAGGAATTCTTGTACGCAGTTTTCTTTGGCTTTACGAAGCCGATTAAAAGACCGTGTGAAATGAACCTTGCTCTGACAATTCCCTTGCATTGCACAACACACTCCGCTGCAGGCTCCTGCAGCCAGACCTGAGCAGAGAGAAGGGAGAAGGCGGAGGAGCAGCGGGGCTGCAGGCACTCTGTGGGGCCTGCAGAGAGCTAGATGAGGGAGGCACAGCAGACTGGCGCTGGTCAGGGTAGGGGAGTCAGGCGGGGGACGGGAGCGGGTAGCTCAGGCCAAAGGGCAGACCCGGGAGGCTTCTGGCAGTGGTGGCCAGAGGGCTGGACTCTGCGGGCAGCTTAGCAGGGACAGTGGACGTGCGCCCGACGCTGGCCTGGACTGCCTCAGTCTAGAAGCAGGCCAGAGAGCGGAGGCACGTGGCATCCCAGGGCGACCTAGCTAGTTCTGCTGTTGCTTCACGAGTTCTGAGCGTTCTCTGCTAGCCTATGGAAGCTGCAGCCCTCGGAGGACAGAAGTGTTGTGCGCCCAACAGAACCCTCTGAGACGCAAGCTGCTCCCTTGGCTAGCTCATATGTGGAAATAGCCCTGTAATTCGAGGTAACTCCTTCCGCTCGTGTCCACATCCCTCTTGTCGAGAGCTCATTGAAAGTCATGTGCCCGGGGAATGTTCCTGTGACTGCTTTTTGTTTTTCCTGTTTTTAAAAAATTAAGGTGGAACTAAAGTCCGGCCCTGCCATTATACTCCCCGCGTGCAGCCAGCACAGCCTGGGCCCAGTCGTGCCTGGCTCAGATGAGGTCCCTTAAGCAGGATTGGAGACCAGTGAACGCCCCCCGCCTTTTGGATTTTTTGCTCATCAATTGACCTTCTTTTCCAGACCTCTTAAGTCATGCTCTTAACTGTAGCTTTCTCTGATGTCTGTTGCCGCCATTAGTTTTTTCCAGAGCCCGCACTGGCCCACACAGCTCCATCCCATGCAGGCAGCTGGCTCTGGCTGCGTCCCCAAGGTGCAGGCCTGCCCCGGGCACGCTGGCCCGTGACGGAGCCTGAGGTCACAGCCCCGTGACTAGCCTGAGACCTTCCTAGGAGCTGTGGATGTTTCCGGGGAGGCTGGGAGGGGCAGCTGTGAGCCCCGTGGAGGACATCGGGAGTAACGCTGCTTTGCTTTGGCAGGTTGAAGGGGCACGGCCAGGACTCGGGGAAGGGTGGCCTGAGATCAGCGATGACCTCTGGGGTCACTGTCCCAGGAGGGACTTCACCTGGAACAGCTGGAGGCAGCCGCTTGCCCCGGAGGTCTGTCCCTTGTAAGTGCTTTCGGGAACAGTGGGATGTGGGCTGAGCCCTGTCCCGGGCGGCGCCTGGTCGTTCCAGCGAGTCCTGCTGTCCCGCACCTGGGTGCAGGGCAGCACCTCCCTAGAGCGCCTGGTACGCCGGCTGGAGCGCGCGTCTGTTCTCCCTTCCTGCCCGTTCCAGGCGGCGCTTAGCCCGAAAGGTGCAGGCCCCAGGCCTGAGATCGCTCCTGGAGGACCGGCTGCGGGGCGCTGGCGGCTTTCGGGGCGGCCAGACCTTGCCCACAACGGCGGAGCCCTGTGAAAATCGGATTTGAATAAAGGGCTACGTGTGCACCCAGAAAGACGAGTCTGTGGTCTAGGGAGGGCCGTCGGGGTCGGAGCTGGGCCACAGGGAGAGAAGCCTGTGGTTCAGTGCACGAGCCACGAGCTGCAGCCGGCAGGGAAGACCGCGCGGGGCTGGCCACGGGGGGGTTCGCGGCGTGGAGACGACTGCCGCGCGGTGGGGGTTCCGAGGCGCACTCGGCCTTTGGGGAGCGGCGGCCGCGCAGGTGCCGTCAAACCCCGTCTCGGGCGGAGCCCCGGGGCACCTGCGGCAGGCTGGGGAAGGGGGCGCCGCCGAAGCGGTCCGAGTGTGTGTGAGGCCCGGAGAAGGGGCGGGGAGGAGCAGCCCGAGTTCCTGAGGCCGGCGTCCTCCCCGCCAACCCTCTATCCTCGGAGGCCGCGCCCCGCGCCGGGCTGGCGTTCGCGGGTTCTGCCCGCCGTGCCCTGCCGGGGCTCCCACGGGCGGGGTCCGCGGCCGGCGCGCGGGGCACTCTGGGTAGCGCTCCGGTGCGCCCGGCTGAGGCGGGAAGGGGGCGGGGCCGGGCGTCAGGCTCCGCCCCTGCGCCCCATTGGCCGGCACCGTCCCCGCATGCCTGACTGACAGCCTCGCGTAGGGGCGGGGCACTTCCACCAGGCCATGGGGCCGAGCGTGTTGCCGCTGCCTCTGCTGCTGCTTCTGCCGGTGCTGCTGCTGGCGGCGCTGCCGTGCGGTGCCAAGGAGGCCTCGCCGCCGCCGCCCGCGCAGGCCACACTGTCGCCGGCACCGGCCGTGACGAACGGGAGCCAGCCTGGCGGCCCGCACAACAGCACGCACGCGCGTCCGCCGGGAACGTCGGGCTCAGCGCTGCTGCGCTCCCTCTACGTGGTCATGGGCTTCTGCGGCCTTGCCGTGCTCTACTTCCTCATCCGGGAGTTCAGGTGCGTCAGGCGCACGCAGAGCGGTCGCCCAGCCGCGGCCAATCAGCGCGCGCCCCTTGTGTCACGTGCGGGGCGGGCCCTCCCTCCCTGCTGGAGTGGGTGTGGGTGGGGTAGAGTCCACGTGACTCGCTCGCTCTTTAACCTGTGGCTGGGCTCCCGGTTGCCAAGCGCTGCAGCCTCTTAATTCGTGGGTTTTCCAGATGAGGCCACCGCTGCCAGAGCGTGCCGGGCAAGGGTCAGGCCCTGGCGGGGCGAGGAGTCCCTCTTGGTTCCTTGTCAGCCGCTGCTCTCCTTTTCCCGCCTGCGGCCAGGGCCCTTCCGGGTATCCAGATTCTTCTGTGCTTCTACCCACTGAAGCTCAGCCGTCGCCAGGGTCGGCGTTGTTTCCGCTTTGGGTGGTCCCACAGCCGGGGAGGTGCGGCTGCGTCCCCAGACCCTCACAGGGGCCCCAGCTGTAGACAGTCTCTGGGCTGTTGCCTTTTGAGGCCACCCCGGCTTCCCTGGCCTATGGCCCCAGTCTCTTCCGGGCTCCTGACTAGCCATTGTGGCTGCTTCTCCTGGGTGGGCTTTTATCACACACCGAGGACCTTACCCCTTTTGCCCATCACCACCGTGGCATTGTCAAGCTGCATTTTTTTTTTTTTTTTTTTTGAGACGGAGTTTCGCTCTTGTTACCCAGGCTGGAGTGCAATGGCGCAATCTCGGCTCACCGCAACCTCCTCCTCCTGGGCTCAGGCAATTCTCCTGCCTCAGCTTCCTGAGTAGCTGGGATTACAGGCACGTGCCACCATGCCCAGCTAATTTTTTTTGCACTTTTAGTAGAGACGGGGTTTCACCATGTTGACCAGGATGGTCTCGATCTCTCGACCTCGTGATCCACCCGCCTCGGCCTCCCAAAGTGCTGGGATTAAAGGCTTGAGCCACCGCGCCCGGCAAGCTGCATTTTTTTAATAACTTTTTTTTGTAGCGATGGTGTCTCGCCATGTTGCCCAGGTTGGTCTCGAACTCCTGGGCTCGAGCGATCCTCCTTTGTCGGCCTCCCAAAGTGTTGACGTTATACATGTGAGCCACTGCGCCTGGCTGTGTTGCATTTTAGGGGCCCTGTGTAGAGCCTCCCCTGTGCTCCACACCCCTTCAAGTGGAAGCTGTGTCCGGGCCCTCCCTGCCTCCCTGGCTGCTTCGGCCGCCGGAAGCTTGGGGATGAGACAGCTTTCCATTTTGTTGTCTTGGGCAAAGTCTCCTCACTGTATGAGCCTCACTCTTTTCATGAGTGCAACGGGAGTGATGTCCTCGTGCCTCTCTTGGGGTCCTGGCACAGGAGAGATGGTAGGGCATGCTGGGGACGTGACTGCTCACTGTCACTGCCATGGGAGTGACTGGTAGTCATTTGGCGATTAAGACATGAAAGAAACAGGCACAGCAAGACCAGGGGGTCTGCAGCAGGGCTGGGGGAGTCCGGTAGAGGAGGCCAATGAGGGTCCTGAGGGAAGGAGGCGGCAGGGTTGGCAGGGAGGGCCCACTGAGGGTGCCTGGACCTACTTGCAGGTTGAAGAAGCCTCAGCGGAGGCGATACGGCCTCCTGGCCAACACCGAGGACCCCACCGAGACGGCCTCGCTGGACAGCAATGAGGAGACGGTCTTTGAATCTCAGAATCTGAGATGGTGTGCAACCCTTCCCTGGCTCTGGAACCTTGGTGGGCCGGCTGGACTGGAGACTCGGGGGGATCTGGGGACTCCGCCAAGTGATGGGGTGGTTCCTACGATTGCAGCTGACCGACCCGGTGGTCAGGCTGCGGCCCCCTGGGCAGGGCTCATCACTTCTCCCGGCCTCCATTTACTACCTTTTGTTTGTTTGTTTAAATTTTAATTTATTTATTTGTTTTTGAGACGGAGTCTCGCTCTGTCTCCCAGGCTGGAGTGCAGTGCTAGATCCTGGCTCACTGGAGCCTCTGCCTCGTCTCCCAAGTAGCTGGGATTACAGGCACCAGCCACCATGCCTGGCTAATTTTTTGTATTTAGGAGAAATGGGGTTTCAACATGTTGGCTTGGCTGGTCTCGAACTCCTGACCTCAAGTGATCTGCCTGCCTCGGCCTCCCAAAGAGCTGAGATTACAGGTGTGAGCTATCGCACCCAGCCTTTTTTAAAAAAAAAAAAATTAAGTTTTTGGGGTTTTTTTGAGACAAAGTCTCACTGTCGCCCAGCCCAGAGTCCAGTGTTGCCATCTTGGCTCACCACAACCTCCACCTCCCGGGTTCAAGTAGTTCTCCCGCCTCAGCCTCCCAAGTAGCTGGGATTACAGGCACCTGTCACCACACCCAGCTAGTATTTGTATTTTTAGTAGAGACGGGGTTTCACCATGTTGTCCAGGCTGGTCTCGAACTCCTGACCTCAGGTGATTCACCCATCTCAGCTTCCCAAAGTGCTGGGGTTACAGGAGTGAGCTACCGCACCCACCCTATTATTATTTTCTTTTTCTTTTTTTTTTTTTTTGAGATGGAATTTTGTTCTTGTTGCCCAGGCTGGAGTGCAATGGTGTGATCTCGGCTCACCATATCCTCCGCCTCCTGGGTTCAAGCGATTCTCCCTCCTCAGTCTCCTGAGTAGCTGGGATTACAGGTGCCCACCACTATGCTTGGCTAATTTTGGATATTTTTAGTAGAGACGGGGTTTCACCGTGTTGGCCAGGCTGGTCTCGAACTCCTGACCTCAGGTGATTCACCCATCTCAGCCTCCCGGAGTGCTGGGATTACAGCTATGAGCCACCATGCCCAGCTGCCTAGTGTTTTTTCTTTAATTAGAGATAGGATCTTGCTCTGTTGTCCAGGTTGGTCTCTTAACTCTTGGACTTAAGTGAGCCTCTCTTCTTGGCCTCCCAAAGTGCTGCGACTACAGGCATGAACTAGCACACCCAGCCTCATTTCTTGCTACTTTAAGAAATGAGGGGCCGGGTGCAGTGGCTCACGCCTATAATCCCAGCATTTGGGGAGGTTGAGGCGGGTGACTCACCTGAGGTCAGGAGTCCGAGACCAGCCCAGTCAACGTGGCAAAACCCCATCTTTATTAAAAAATGCAAAAAATCAGCTGGGCACGGTGGCGCGTGTCTGTCATCCCAGCTACTCAGGAGGCTGAGGCAGGAGAATTGCCTGAACCCAGGAGGCGGAGGTTGCGGTGAGCCGAGATCGCGCCATTGCACTCCAGCCTGGGTGACAAGAGCGAAACTCCGTCTCAAAAAAAAAAAAAAAAAAAAAGAAATGAGGAAAGCAGCTTAGGGTAGTGGGTGCTCGCTCGGGGCCTCTCCCTGACGGACGGGGTCCAAGTCAGGTGCAGAAATGACCATAGGCTGCTTCGGAGCGGGCAGGGTGGGAGGGCCTGTCCCTGTTGTGTAACAGAGCTGAGGGAGGAGGAGGACAGAGGCTGCGGCCTCCCAGGTGTCTGGTGGGACTGGGGTAGGCGTGGGTGTAGAGGCAGGGGCCGCGTACTGGCCGGGTCCTAGGCAGGGAAGGGTGGGTCTTTTGTGCTGCAGTGCGGTTTCTGTGGCGACCGTGGCCTGCTGGCGTGTGGCAGGCCTGGAGGCTGGGAGACCAAGGGACAGGCTGGCGTCTGACTTTCGAGCCCCCAGGGAGGGAGAGATTGCGATCCCTCCCCAAGGTCTGACTCCATCCTGGGAACCCCTCCCAGGTTTCTTCCACCTCCTGGCTGGGGGCCCTTCCCCGAGGTGGGCAGCTGAGCAGGGCCCAGGAAGCCAGGGGAGGGTCCTGGACAGGCTGCCCACTGCTGCCTACTGCTGCCTGACCTGTGTGAGCCTCTGCCCGACGACAGGCGGGCCCTTCGCTCCTCACCTCTCACCCTTGCACCCCCCGCTTCCAGATGCTGAGCCAGGGAGGCAGCCTTTCCACGAGGGAAGGACAGGAGCCAGGGCCCACCAGTGCCCAGCAACCCCCGCCCCACCGCTTCTCCTTCGGACCTCCGGGCCGGCCCCACCCAGTGCCAGCCTCACCCAGTGCCAGCTTGAGAGTCCTTTCGGACCCTGTGCAGCCCGCCCTCCTGCCGCAGCCCGCACCCGCTGCCACACTGCACAGCCTCGCCTCCCAGCTGCCACCCCAGCCTGACTGAGGGTCCCGGTGAAGACAGGAGGGGCCCTGAGAGCCACTGCCCAGGACTCTGAGGCCGCCTTGCCTGACTGTGACTTGTGCCTCTCCCCAGCCTCCTCGGGGACATGGCAGCCCTGAGCCAAGACTGGGTGGGCAGGTAACCCAAGGGACCTGTGTTGGAACACTTTCCCGCCGGACTGGAACAATAAACAGCCATGTCTGCCGCTGGTCCTGACCTCGCCACCCCAGACCCGTCTACACCGGGTCAGTCAGTTGCGGGGCAGTGGAGGGGGCTCCAGCCGGACTCAGTTCCCCATCTGCAGCCATGCTTGGGTCCCCAGCCTTGCCTCCACGTGAGGAACCCATGTGGTAGGCAGGAGGGGGACCTGTCTCCAGCTGCCTGGGATGAGGCCCTGCCTGTCGGCACCTGTACCCCTAGAGAGAACTCCTAGTCATCCGTCAAAGCCCCTGGCCCCCGGGCCCCTCCTCTATGCCATCTTCAGTCTGGGTCTCATGGGCCCCCCTTCCGGAGGAACCCCACTTCACCTCACAAATACCTCTGGCAATGATTCCGGGGAGCCCCCAAGCTGTGCTGTGGGAGGCTGGAGCTCCCTGTGGCCTAAGCCCTCCTGCCGGCCGCCCCTCCCCAATCAGTCCCCTGTGGACCCACCGGCCTGAGACCGCATCCCCGGCAAGGTGCTGAATGGGCTTCCCTGGTGTTTTGTTCCTGCGGGGGGCTGTGTCCGGGCAGAGCCCACTTCTGGCCTGTCACCCCGTTGCCCATGAGGTTGGCCTCGGACCGAGGCGTGTGGGTACCCACAGCCCGGGGTCTCTTCCTGGGCAGTCTGGCCGGAGCCGCCACTGCCCTGTCAGGAGGAGGAGTCGCCACCAGGTGGCAGCCTTGTGCCGCCCAGTCCGCAGTCCGTAACGGCCCATGTCTCACCCCACTTCCCGAGCCCACCACATCCCTCATCCACGAGGGCTGGGCAGCACCCCAGGCTGGTGCGTCGCACAACCCTGCCAACCGACCCTGTCCGCCGCCAAGCTTGGGAGGGGCTGCTGGGGACCAGGCTGTCACCTGTCAGGCCAGGGCCCCTCATTCTCATACCGTCTGCTCTCTTGGGCATCTCCATCTGACCATGCCTTGCCAAGACTCTGCTCACATTTCTCCTTCCCGGTCCAGTGCCCAGCCTCAGCTGCCGCCTCCAGGAAGTCCTCTGTGATTGCTCACCCAGCCTGTTTTTGGTTTTGGTTTTTTTTTTTTTTTGAGACGGAGTTTCGCTCTTGTTACCCAGGCTGGAGTGCAATGGCGCGATCTCGGCTCACCGCAACCTCCGCCTCCTGGGTTCAGGCAATTCTCCTGCCTCAGCCTCCTGAGTAGCTGGGATTACAGGCACGTGCCACCATGCCCAGCTAATGTTTTGCATTTTTAGTAGAGACGGGGTTTCACCATGTTGACCAGGACGGTCTCGATCTCTCGACCTCGTGATCCACCCGCCTCGGCCTCCCAAAGTGCTGGGATTACAGGCTTGAGCCACCGCGCCCGGCCTCCAGCCTGTTCTTCAGGGGAATCCTTCAGCGAAGGTTGGGGAAGCAACCCCCAAACTGAGGTCTGAGCCCAAGGGAGGCCCCAGATGCTGCAGGTGGGGAGGGCGGCGTGGCTCGGCCTGGCCACGTGTGGGTCTCACCTAAAGCCCAGGCCGTGCTGTTTTCCGTCTGCCCGGCCTTTTTGTGTCTGTCTCCAAACTCTCCCATCTGCGTGTCTCCATCTGCCTCCTTCACTTTGTCTCTGTCTCCACGTTTGACCCTCTGGGATGAGCTTTCAACAGGCGCGGAGACACCGGCCCCGGCCCCCACCTTGTGATCTGCGCCCCCCGCCGCCACCCCATCCCACAGCTCTGAGCGCTTCTCCGGCTTCAAAAGGCACATTAATTACTCTAATGAGGTCAGGAGAGACTTGCGCGCTGCCATCCGGAGTCGGAACACGCCGCAGCCCCCAGCCCAGCCGCCGCCGCCCCCTCTGGCAGGGAGAGGGGCTCTGCCCCCTGGTCCCCTCTGCCTGTCAGGGCCCATCAGCCGGGCTGCGCCCGCGTTGGTGTGGAGTAATTGGCAGCCCCCCAAGGTTAATGCACTGTTAGCCGGGGGTTCTCCTGGGCTAAGAGCCGGAGAGGGGACTGTCAGCCAGAGATGAAAGGTCCGAGGTCCCGGCCGGCGCCTGGCCTGGGCGCCTGTGGGAGTGCGTGTGTGTGCGGGTGCCTCGGAAATGGGGGGGCGGGCAGCGGCGGTCTCCACCTCCCCCAGGCAGAGACACACGGGCATAAACAGAACACGGCCGTGTAGACGCACCACAGTCCACACAGCCGCACATACAGGATGCACACAGCCCCTCGGGACACGGGGTCACACACAGGTGTGACCTGCTCGGATCCTGACCCCATGCCTGGGGAGGGGAGTGTCTCAGGCCCACAGCCCCACCCCTGCCCCTTGCCCAGCCCACTGGACAAGCGGGGTACCTGGCCCCTGGCTGGGCGTCTGGGTTGGGATCTCTGCTTCAGCAGCGGGTCCGGCCCAGGCTGGAGAGGGGAGGACTCAGAGCCCAGCCTCTCCGTCTGTGAAATGGGGACCGGTGGGTGCTGGGGAAGTGGCCTCGAGGGCTAGACGTGTCGGGTTCCTTGTGGAGCCTGACGTTCGCTGGCGTCTCCTGGGGAGACGAAGATGGGGCTCCTGATGCCAGGGTGTCCCAGGGAGGGGGCCCCATGGGCCAATCACAGTCACTTGGGGTTGGCAGGCAAGGGAGGGCACTGTGCCCCTGCCGGGGGCGCTGAGACCCCCATACCCTTGATCCCCCACCTCCAGGGATCTCACCACAGGTCCCCATCTCCTGTGTGGGGGACCTGAGCCATCACTGCCCCCACATGGAGGCCACTGACCTCCCCTCCCAGGCCAGCTAGCCTCTGAGAAGCACCCAGTGCTTTGCTGTGGGACACGAAGCCACACGTGGCTATTCACATTACTTCAGTTACATAAAACTGTAGGTCCGGGCCGGGCGCGGTGGCTCACGCCTGTAATCCCAGCACTTTGGGAGGCCAAGACAGGTGGATCACGAGGTCAGGAGTTCAAGACCGGCGTGGCCAAGATGGTGAAACCCCGTCTCTACTTAAAAATATATACATACGGCCGGGCGCGGTGGCTCAAGCCTGTAATCCCAGCACTTTGGGAGGCCGAGGCGGGTGGATCACGAGGTCGAGAGATCGAGACCATCCTGGTCAACATGGTGAAACCCTGTCTCTACTAAAAACACAAAAAATTAGCTGGGCGTGGTGGCACGTGCCTGTAATCCCAGCTACTCAGGAGGCAGAGGCAGGGGAATGGCTCCAACCCAGGAGGCAGAGATTGCAGTGAGCCGAGATCACACCACTGCACTCCAGCGTGGGCGACACAGGGAGACTCCATCTCAAAACAACAACAGCAGAAACTGGAGATCCGAAGTCCAGGGCCTCAGTCACCACGGGGAGCCAGAGGCCCCAGCTTGGGACAGCGACGACGGGTGCGGGGCGGGAACGTTCTCTTCGTCTTGGGAAGTTCTGGACGCTGGTGGTGTCTGGACACTGGCGGACGGGCCTGTGTTAGGTGGGATGAGGGAGAGACAAAGGGGAAGGGGGACGGGGAGGAGGGGGGAGGAGAGTGGGAAGGAGAAGGCTGTGAACGGAGAGGAGGGATGGGAGGAAGGTGGAAGGGGAGGAGGAAGAGGAGGAGGGAGAGGAGGGTTCTGAAGATAGAGAAAGGAGGGAGGGGGAGGAGGAGGGGACGGGAAGGAGGGAGAAGGGAGGGGAGGGGTGGGGAGGGCAGGAAGATGTGAAAGGAGAGGAAGGAGGAGGGGTATTAAGGCGGAAGAGAGAGTTGGAAGGGGAGGAGGAGAGAATGAAGGGAGGAGGGAGGGGAGGAAGGTGTGAAGGGAGGAGGGAGTGAAGGGAGGAGGGAGGGGAGGAGGGAAGGAAGGAGGGAGTGAAGGGAGAGTAAAGAGGGAGGGAGGAGGAATGGGAAAGGTGTGAAGGGAAGGACTGAAGGGATGGAGGGGAAGAAGGAGTGAAGGGAGGAGAGGAGGGTGTGAAGGGAGGAGGGAGTGAAGGGAGGAAGGAGGGGAGGGGTGGGAAGGGCAAGAAGATGTGAAAGAAGAGAGGAAGGAGGAGGGGGTATTAAGGCAGAAGAGAGAGTTGGAAGGGGAGGAGGAGGGAGGGGAGGAGGGTGTGAAGGGAGGAGGGAGGAGGGGAGGAGGGAGGAGGGAGGGGAGGAGAGAGTTAAGGGAGGAGAGGAGGAGGGAGTGAAGGGAGGAGGGAGGGGAGGAGGGAGGAGGGGAGGAGGGAGTGAAGGCAGGAGCGTGAACTGGGAAACACGGCTTTATACCTGTTCCTTTCCTCCACTGACACAGGCGCTGCAGGAGTCTTGGGTCCAGGCTGAGGTTTCAGGGTCCTGGCTGGACTTGGACGGGGGTGGGGGTTTCAACGTTACTGGCGGGAGAGAGGGATACATTTTTACTTTCAGGGTCAGTGATCTGACCCCTGGGGCTAGGTGCAGAGCCTGGGTCTGAACTTGGCAGGTCGGGGGATGGACAGAGGTCAGGCTCCCACCCAGAGTGGAGCCCGAGACCTGCCCAGGCCCCCGCACCCCGTGACCCCGCCGCCTGACCCTTGCCTGGCTGAGATGGGGCTTCTGAAAGCTGCTGGCAGTAGGGCAGGCAGCGGATTGAGTCCAATTTATTCTGTAATGAGAAATTTCTCCCCGCATATTTTTAGCTTCCTCCTGGTGTCCCGGCCTTTGAAGGCCGAGGGGCTGCGGGCCGCTGATCCCACGCCCTGCCGCCGGGCCCTGTGGGCAGAGAGCGCCGGGCACAGGCTGGGGGCCAGCGCTGTGCTTGGGCTGGACAAGCCCATTCCCGAGTCTGGGGCAGACTCGGGGCCCAGAAGGGCCGAGCAGGGGACAGGACCACAGCCCATCCAGCCCTGTCCTGGCTCCGGACCTGGGGCTGACGGCAACCCTGGATAACCCCTGACCTTGGCTGACCCCTGTCCCCAGAGTGAGCCTGACCTCGGATCCTTGGCTCCACAGGAAGCTTACTCTAGAGGGATCTCTGGCTGTGGCCGATGCCAAAGCTGGGACAGCCCCCAGCCCCGGGAGGGGACAGGGCTTCTTGTGCCCCCCCAGCAGCCCCCTGGTTGGGCAGGGGTTCCCCAGGGC